ACTGTAACTGTAACTGTTGTTGTTATTGTTGTTGTTGATGTTATTATTGTCGTTAATAATTTTATGGATTCTTTGAAATCGAACGGCGGGAGTAAAAAAAATAAACAAATTTATAATGTGTTATATATATAGCCCATAATGTACGTACCCGCGAAGTGAATAAAAAGTAAAAGGAAGTTCGATAAATGCAGTGTGATGAAAGAACACCCAGGAATAAATAATAATTCAAGGACCCTTCATACTCTTTCTTCACCTCCTAACTGTGTGGTAGTTAGGTAACAAATAAACTATCAAAACGGTTTTGTAAAGTTTTAATCAAGCCGGCAGTCTCCTTTATACTGAATGATACGGTGCTGTGTGTGCAGTAATTGGTTAATATTTTTAAACGTTTGCTTTCCTGGATACTTCATAGGTTTCACGTGCTAACATTTGTCAACTTTGATTAAAAAACTATTATGAATTATACATACGGGATTATTCGAATAATATATGAATAATTGCGGGAAATTATCCTACCTATCGATGCAAATTCACGGCTTTATCCGATAAGCTAGACATTTATGTACGAATTAGGTTTAATCCTTTAGTCGGTATATTTTTAATTTCTTAAATTCTTCTATACACTAGTTAAAATGCATACATTTTCTGTTTGATTAAATTAGAATTTAAATTGTTTTCCCAAATTTAATTCCACGAGGAAACATGGCTTGTTAAATAACATTTAAACTAAATAATAAAACGCGCACGTGTGATTTACTTTTTATAATCGCTCAGCAAAATAAATATGCACTTTGCACATTATATTGACACGTTATTTTCGATAACATAAATTGACCCTGAAAAGTGAGTGTTATATTAAGAAATTAGTTTTTTTTTATTTAGTAGTTTTATGTGTCGAAAATTACGATTATCAATATTAGTAATATCCCAACATTTCAATTAATTCTGTCGTACACATAGTACTTAAATATAAAGTAAATTTACAAGTAGTGTCGGTAATTCCTAAGCATGGCATTCAATTAGCTGTAATTTACAACCAATTAACTGATAATTATATGTGGCTTAAATTATAAAACGTAACATTAAAAACAAAAACCATACAGTTGAAAAAATATCGCCAGACGTCACGTGTTTCAGACATATTTTAATCTTATTCAGTATAATGGAAGTTACAATTTATTATAATATATGTACTTATGTGACTATGTATTAAATTTAAATGCTTTTTAAACGCTAAGTTAAAACTATTAATTTGTTTCAAATAATCAATATGTTTTATAAATGGTAAATCTGGTGAAAAAAGATTTTACGAGGTCAAAACTTACAACAGATTACCTATATAATTGTATATACTTGAATCTATTTAAGAGTATAAATATGATTTTATATTTTACATTATTCAACGAATCTAAAGGGGAAATAAAAATAATATACTGCTTCGAATTGTTACCATCGCGATAACCAGACACAACATACAATTTTTATTTTTATTCATTTTTCAACCATAAGTATAAGGTAAAAAATAAGAATATTCAAATGTAAAAAAAAAAATTATTATTGCACATTCCAACAATGCCGAGTTACAACCATTTACCATATAATATACTTGTACACGGACACGGTGTAACAGAAAAAAGTAAAATAATACTTGAATGAAATAAAAATAAATTAAAAGGTCCGCGAGATAAAATATAGTGTGCGAAGTTTATGAGAAATAAAAGGGAAATAATGTTTTTTTAAAAATTTTTATTCATCAAACAAATGTGTCGTAACACCATGCGCGTTAATAAAAATTACACGGTTGTTATTCTTTTCTGAACTAATTGCAGTATCGCACGTTATTATATTAATGTTTTTGTCCAGATGGAAAACGACAAAAATGTAAAGGCCATGCGAGACGACATTGCCACAGTAACGACTATAATAATATTATCCTTTCGTTTAACAATTATATTTTATCGTATTTTACGACGTTCAAGGAGAATACAAATATAATATCAAAGATACTATTTACGAAGAAAAAAATATTACCATAGGTACGTCAAACAGACGAGACGACCATACGCGAAATATTATAATGCGTGATGTAATAATATTATAATAATATACTCACATAAACGAAACCAGTAAAGTCATTAATAGTTCCCACCACCCGAAAACCGGTCGTACACCGTCTGCATTGTCACAACGTATAAAGAGTGTTTTAGAGAAAAATCAACGTATTCGTCCAGATTATAGGACCACGCAAATTCCACCGACTATACAGATTCAAACATGTGGTATTATCGTTATTATGACTCCCGTTGTCGATATTGTCAAGTAAAAAAATTTAGGTAAACAGCAAATACGCATCGAAAACTTCTCTGGCAGACCAGCGCTCATTCAACAAGGTGCACTTAAGTCAGTTTAAATATTATTAAAATCGTTATGATCATTTTATTTCATATGTTTAATGATGCGTAGTTACCACGACGATGACCTTGCCGGACAACGGCGACAACTGACAATACTTTGAAAGAATAAAAATAATAATAATAACACAACAATAATCTTATAATATAATATTAATATTATTACTATGTTATGTAGTGCATACGTGCAACGAGTGCATTGCAACATTGCACTCGCTTACTATTATTATTGCAACTCTCCTCACGTGTATTCGCGTGCGATGACTCAATATACCGCCGTCAACTTTTGTGACTAAGGGATAAATGTAATTTAAATAGAGCGTGTGTGTTTCAGATGAGCAATAAATAAAAATACAGTTGGTCCTTTGTGCGCGAATGCAAAAATGACAATGACTGCGTTGCGCGGACAAAAAAGCGAATGAATGGTTTTAATCGAAACGCGACTGCGCGCGTCCAACGTTTTTGCAGTTGTCCATCAGGCACAAACCCGTAATGGCATTAAAAACCTTTTAAATGAAATAACAAAATTTGGCCAAAATGATATATCATATTAAAATTTATTATGCAATGTGTAGCGGAGAACATATTTAAAATAAAATATATTAATATTGTCGTCGTCATCGTGGCAGAGAATAAAAAACATCGTCGCCGTCGATGCACGGTGGTCAGCAACGTATGATACGAGTGTGTAATATTATAACATTATTATAGTAGTGTCGACGTGTGCCAAAAATAAAATTTACGCCCCTTTCCGATTGCCAAACGTTATTGTGGTATCCCAGTTTTACCTATAATCGGAGCGCGGCGCGTACAACACACCAGAACGGCTTACGAGACAACGACGACGCACGTCACCGCGACAATTACGGACGTTACTAAAATCTCGGTAGCGCGCGCACGCACACGCAGGTGCGTCGACAATCGTCGTGATTTCTAGAAATAGTTTTAAAGAACATTTTTGGAGAAAAAACCTACTGCGAGTATGCAGCGATGCAATCTGTGCATTGTATGCCAGGTGATCGTCTGTTCCATCGGTTTTTAGGTCTTGAAAATCGTCCACCGATGACAATAAAAAAAAAAAAAAAATAATTATTATCGTCAAGAGAAAAATATAGTATTATAACATTTAGGTGTACTACTAGGTTCGATACATCGGTTGGCAACGCCAAGAGGAATGTACGCACGCACGCACACAATATGCGTGTGGTTTAAGTAATAAGTATGTTATTATTACAATTTTACATAATCAATATGGGCACGGGCTAGTGTACAAACTACATAAACACACACACACACACATACACACTAACACATACTTCTGTAGCTCAAACGCGCTGGCGCTCGCCACAAAACAACACACGAGTCATGTGTACAAATAAAAATCAATCCCAACTTTTTCTTCGATGCCAGAATTCATCGGATTAAGATAAATAATAATATTAATATATTCGTTGCTATAGCGGTTAACACGTGTTATGTTCAGCCCGTCATAACATTTGGGACGGCCAATGCATGAAGAGCTGCAGATTTTACACATTTTTCGTCATTCGCCGCCGCTACGGTGGATAAAACTGACGACCGAAAAACGTTACGACAACAAAAACAGCGATATAGTGATATATAGTCACGTTTACGCGTAATCTCGCCGCCCAATGCCAACGTTCACAGTAATATGTTTACTGTTTACTGTAAAAACACATTGATATTTTTCGAAATATTATCGGTTATCGCCTAGATTCCCGTTTATAAAGGTCAACAAATATAACCGCTAGGAGGCGATTAGTACGCGGTACGTTTTGCGGCCACACATCATATACACAACATACGTTGTTGACTTAACTGCGCTCGGTTTTTGTTTTTATTATTCGAGCTTTCCGACGAATAGAACAACTTATCTCGAGAGGGATTTCAAAGCGCACCACAAGTCCGTCCCGTGTTATCGCAATAAGCGGATTATTCTCTACGTATTATTGCATTATTATCTACTACTTATACATTAGTGTACGGTAGATAAAAAAAGGTAAAAATAAGATACACACAGCACTACGGTATTATTAATCCGTTATCTGGACGCCGTTGCCACTCAATGCGGTAAAATTAAATTAATATGAACAGCACCTAGAGACTAAGAACTAGACACCCGCCCTCGTGTCATCTTCCGCCACATCACCCGTCATCGCTGCGGGTCGATCCGAGTTCAGGACAGAGCTCCTCTAACCACAGTGACGGGACGACGGTGGGCTTAACGAACCGTAATAAATCGTATTATACTTGTAATCGAAACGTGCGGTTGCGCAACATCAACAAAAGTGGCGTAAGTACGTTTAGTTTTCGCGCGTGCCATTCGCTACCACCGCCGCCACCGCGCGATCGACTGTACGAACCACCCCCAGAACCAACAATCGTGTCGCGTTTCTGATACCGGAGAAACACGCGAGCTGTCGTCGACACGGGGGAAAATGACGCACGAAACTTTTGTTTTAGCGAATTTATAAAAAATAAATATCTCGACGCACGTATAAAAAACAACAGGGTCGAAAAACCAATTAGTTTTTGCAACGCCATTATTATTTTTTTACTGTCGCTTACCGGTGTCGTTCGTTGTTGCTGTTGTTGTTGCTGCTGTCTCGGCCTGGCGGCGCCGGCTGTCGACGAGGCGCGTTGTTTCTGCTGTTGCCTGGGCGACGAAGACTGTCTACCGGCGGCAGACGATTTGGTCGCGGCCGCCTGCTGCTTGTTTTTCGCGGTCTTGGCCGCCGGCGCGCTGGTAGTGGCGGCGGCCGCGGCTGTCGCGTCCGAACTCGTGTCGGCCGACGACTTGCGTCGGAACGCCTTCAGCCAGCCCAACCGCTTGGAATGCGTTTCCGCGGCCCTGGAACCCACCTTGGTGGCGGCCGACTTGTCTTTCTTACCGTCGCCACCGCCGCCGCTGCCGACGGTCCGCTGCTGCTGGTGTGGCTGCTTGTGGCCACCGTCGTCGGCGGTCGACGACGACTTTTCGGCCGCGCCGTCGTTCTTGGGCGTCAGCAGCTGGTGCTTGGCCTCGTGCTCACGCTCCAGCTTCTTCAGCTGCGACTCGACCATCGTCAGCTCGTTGAGGTTGCTCTCGATCATCGGCAGACCGGCCGGCAGCCGATCGCTGTCCGTGTCGCTGCTGCCGCTGGACGACGACAGCGGCGGTTTCGGCGACCGCTTGGCCGACGCCGCGCCACCAATCACGGACGGCTGGTCGTCGATCTGCACGTGCTGCACCCTGAACCGGCTCTTCTTGACCGGCACCGCGGTCGCGGTAGTACCGGCCGCGGCCATCGCCGCCGCGGTGGCCGTCTGCAACTTGGACGCCGAGTCGCCGGCTTTCAGTCTTGTTCGGGCCGACCTTGCAACGTTTCAGCTTGTCCGGCGCGAACTTGGCCCATGCCGTGGACTTCCAGACGTCGTCCCACGTGCGCATCGTCAACTTGAATCTCGATTCCATGATGGATTTTTTACTGCGCAACGGATCAGGGCGTGCCATCCTGGTGGTCACGCACATACCGTGATCGGGGTTATGGGTGGCCGCGTAAACCACCCGTACGTTGCTGTTGTCGCGGTTATCACTGCTGCCGCCAATGCCGCCGCCGTTGTCGTCGGTCGTACGACGATTGGGCGTTTCGCCGGCACGTCCGGTTGTGGTCGCGGCGGCTGCCATCTTGTTCTCGGATTGTGCGTTGAGCTAAAGATTGTAGTCGTCGGATGGTGCTGTGGTGATTGCTTGTTGCTGCGTTACCTTTCACGATCGTCGCCCTAACCGAAACACACGGTCAATTAACACATCGTGGAGCCTTGATGCACCGCACTTAAGTCAATATTCATGACGATATATTTTATAATATGGCGCGTATGACAACACGTTATAATCGTTGGAACAGGGTCCGACGAGCGGCGCTGCCGCCGCCGCCGTGCTGCCGACATGACAACGACGACAAAGTTGGCTCGCCAACAAAACGACCGGTATAGTAGGTACGCATAATAAAATCAACATGGTTTCTACAATACGTAACTGAATGAAGTACAACAAG